CACCTGGGTGACGGGAATATCATTCCTGAAGACGGTTTGTTTAAAGAAACGGAGATCCTAATAGCTGAGCTCATTGCACATCTCTCCTAGCGTCTCCTGGTAAGTCGTTCAGTTATCTCTCTGTTCCTTCATCCCCTTGATTCCTAATCAAATTGCCAGCCAACACACATCCCTCCAGCCTAACCCCCACTTCCCATGCACTTGGTCCATATCCCTGTGGGTTACTGCACTCCACATCCACATCCGAGCAAATACATTTAATGTGCTGAGGGTTTTTACCTCCTCTTCAGGCACTGAGTCTCAGATTCCCCCATCTCCCTGTCGGTGAGAACAATTTCCCCTTAAATCCACTCTCTTGCGTCTTATTCTCAATCTCTTAGACCGATTCCGCAGCCAAATTGCAGAAAACAAGTTCAACTTGCAGAATCTAAATCGCAGGCAGAAAATGCTGCAAGTGCACAGTGGGTCTGTTCGTGCCTGTATGAGAGTGAGGGAAAGAAAGGCAAGGAACAAAATTAGTCTCACCCAGTTTGTTGGACTCCCACATTATCCCTCTGTTTGGACCCTTTCTCTCTATTCCGTTATCACGTTAATCTCTCTTTTGCAGTTCTAGTTCCTTACTCCCTCTCTTTATACCGTCCTGCTAATCTACCTGTTTCTTCTCGCTTTCAACAACAATGTGTTGATGTAGCGTCTTAAATGTGATAAAATGCCCCAAGGTATTTCAAGGCAGCTACCATGAAACAAATTTTGACAGCAAACTACATAAGGAGATTTTAAGTCAAATGGTTAAAGAGGTAGATTTTTAAAAGCATCTTAAAAGAGGAAAAGGAGGTAGAGAGACAAAGAGGGGGTGGGGGTTATGTTCTATGCATGTTTGTGTCTGTATGAGATAGTGTCTTTGTTTAATTGTCAGTCTGCATATCTGTTTGTGTGATTATGTCTGTATATCCCCATCAGACCTGCTGGGTTTGGGTTTTAAAGGACATGGTGGTTAGATAACAAAGGAGCACCTTCTCAGAGATGGGATGCCTTGCTTCTCGATTGTTGCTCTACCCTTTTCACCCATGGCAGTGCCCACTACAGAGCTCTGCGGTATAAAGGAATGCCTCAGTTCTGATAAACAGCCATTGGATTCGAAACGTTAACTCCATTTTCTCCCCCACAGATGCTGCCAGGCCTGCTGAGTTTCTCTTGCAATTTCTGCATTTTTTTTCCAGATCTCCAGCATCTGGAGTTCTTTGTTTTATATTTATCTGTTTACCTCATCTGTCAGTGTGTGATTTTGTGCCTCTGATTTTATGTGTCTGTGTCTGTGTGAATCTATTTCTGTGTGCATCTCTGAACACGTGAAAGTGTGTGGATGTGAGGGTGTGGTGGTGTGTGTCTGGGTGTCTGACTGCCTGAATCTGTCTCTGCCTGTATTTCTGTGTACATGTGAAAGTGTGTGGGTATGGTGGTGTGTGTCTGTATCTCTCTATGTGTCTATGTGAATCTGTCTCTATATAAATTTTTGTGGAGGAGTGTGAATGTTGATTTGCCTGTGTTGGGGGTTAAACGTCTATGTGTATCTATCTCTGTGTGTTTGCCAGTACAGAAATCTCGGCATACATGTCTGTGTATGTACTGGGGAGGGTGGGTGTGGGAGTTATATATCTGTGTCTTTCTATGTCTCTGTGTGGATGAGTGTGCATGTGGGAGAGTTTGTGTGTCTCTCTACATCTGTCTGCATGTCGGGTAGTGTAGGTAGAGGAGTGTCACTGTGTGTGGGTGTGTACATTCATGTGTCTATGTGTCTCTGTGTGAATCTCTATATACATGTCGTTATGTTGGGGAGTATGGTGGAGAGTTATGTGTCTGTATTGGGGTGGGTTCTGTCTCTACATCTGTGTGTGTGTGGGCGTGTTAGTCTGTATGCTGAAGTTATGTGTGGGAATGTATGTTTGTGTGTCTGTGTCTCTCTGTGCTGGGGAATGTTGGGTGTGGATGTGTAGATGTGGGAAGGTGTTGATTGAGTTCCTGTCTCTCGCTACATCTATCTGTTGTTGTGTGGGAGTGTGTAACTGTTTTTTTGCCGAGTTATTTCACTGTTTTTTCCACCTGCTAACTACTGATTCATGCAGTCTTGTAAAGGCCTCATTATTCACAAGAGTGCTTGGCACAGCTCTGTTAAACTGTACACTCTCTCTACACTCTCTGCACTTTAAGCTAATTGAGTCATTGGCGAAATTGCTGGAACTGGGTGCCACACAGAAGAGCGACAGTTTCAGAGGAGAGGTATTTTTGGATATTAATGACAAAGCCTGAAAGAGAGACATAAGCTGGAGTGCAGGATACAGCCAAGAGTGAAAACATGAGGCTGTAGACTTGCTTGCCGAGCCGGTGTTTTTAATTGCAGACGCTTTGTCACCCTGCATCGTCAGTGCGCCTCCAGTGAAGCATTGGTGTTCTGTCCTGCTTGTTATTTATATACCTTGGCTTGCTGGGGTGGTTGGCATTACTTCCGGTTCTGTTTTTCAGTGGTTTGTATATTGGGTCCAGTTCAATGTGTTTGTTGATGGAGTTCTGGTTGGAATGCCAAGCCTTTAGGAATTCCCTGGCATGTCTCTATTTGGCTCGTGCAATTGTGCAATTCCAGGATTGCGCAAACCAGAACAGGAGCACTACACTGAGTTTTTAAAAGGAATGGATATCCAAAAAGCACAATCTGCCATTACCTCCATGACAGACCACAACAAGAAGACACAACACGGCCAGACACACGAATCACCCTACTGTACATCAGAGACATATTAGAGATGACCAAAAGACTACTCAGATCCCTAAGTATCAGGGTAGTCCACTAACCAACAACCACACTGCGACAGCTACTGATGAACGTAAAGGATCCCATACCCACAACCAATAAAACTAACGTAATATACAAAATACTTTGCAAGGACTGTGAGAAACATTACATAGACCAAACTGGACGAAAACTGACAATAAGGATACACAAACACCAACTAGCCACCAAGAGACACAACCAATTCTCACTGGTCTCAATACACACAGACAAAGAAGGACACGAATTTGACTGGAACAGCACATCCATAATAGCACAAACCAAACAGAGACACGCCAGGGAATTCCTGGAGGCCTGGCATTCCATCTGGAACTCCATCAACAAATACATTGAACTGGACCCAATATACATAACACTGAGAAACAGAACCAGAAGTGATACCAACCACCCCAACAAACCGAGGCATATTATTAATAACAAGTGGGACAGAACACCGACACTTCACTGGAGGTGCACTGACGATGTTACCTAGCAGGGTGAGGAAACATCTGCAACCAAACACACCAGCTTGGAGAGCAGGTCTACAACTTCATCCACAACCCGAGCTATAAATCTTCTCAAAAACCTTACAGGGTGAAAAGAGTTGAGTGGAAATCAGAAAGAAGGAAGGTAGCCCATCCCTGAGGAGATGGTTGTCTTTTCCTCCTTAACCACATGTCCTTTAAATCTCAACCCCACTCTCCCAAACCTTCTCTAAGGTCCCAAACCACCACCCATTGCCCTAACACAAACAGAAGTTGCTGGAAAAGCTCAGCAGATCTGGCAGCATCTGTGAAGAAAAAATCAGAGTTAACGTTTCAGGTCCAGTGACCCTTCCTCAGAATTGGACCCAAAACGTTAACTCTGATTTTTTCTTCACAGATGCTGCTGGATCTGCTGAGCTTTTCCAGTAACTTCTGTTTGTGTTCCTGATTTACAGCATCCGCAGTTCTTTCGGTTTTTATTACCCATTGCCCTAAGCCTGGGTGTAGGCTTCCATGGGATTCCTCTTTCATGGGCTTGCCCACAGTCCGGGCAGTGCCCACTATGGAGCACTGCAATATAAAGAATATCCCCATTAGAATCACTTTGGACTTTGAAGCATTAACTCTGTCTCACTCTCCACAAATGTTATCAGATCTGGTGAGTTTCTCCAGTACTTTGAGTTATTATCACCAGAACAGATTATCTGGCCATTAGTAGATTGCTGTTTTTGGGAGCTTGCTGAGTGCAAATTGGCTGTTGCATTTATAGAGTAATAGAATCACACAGCACAGAAACCGACACTTTGGTCCAACTTGTCCACGCCAATCAGATATCCTAATCTAGTCCCATTTGCCAGCAACTGGCCCATATCCTTCAAAACCCTTCCTGTTCATGTACCCATCCAAATGTTTTAAATGTTGGAACCGTACCAGCCTCTACCACTTCCTCTAGCAGCTCGTTCCGTACGCCAACGACCCTCTGCATGAAAACATTGCCCCTTAGGTCCCTTTTAAATCTTTCCCCTCTCACCTTAAATCTGTGCCATCTAGTTTTGGACTCCTCTCTCCAGGGAAAAAGACTTTGGCTATTCACCTTATTCATGCCCCTTGTGATTTTATAAACCTTGATAAGCTCACACTTCAGCCTACAGCGTTTCAGGGAAAATAGCCCCAGCCGACTCAGCCTCTTCCTATAGCTCAAACCCTATCCCGGTAATATCCTTGTAATCTTTTCTGAAACCATTTCTTACATTTAATCAATGGACCCACTTGCAAAAATCAAAGAATTGATTGTTAAGCAGGCTAGCAGCACCAATGATATTTTCTCATCAACCAGTTCATACTCACCTCTAGAGCAGGTGGGATTTAAACCCAGGCATTGGGCTCAGAGGTAGGGTCACTACCACAATGTAACAGGAGCTCTGAAAACTCTGAAGGTACATCCCTTTTGCTTAACACGTTCAGATATGTTATGAGATTCCCTCAGCACAAGTGAAACTTGAATCCAGACCTTGTGGCCCAAATGCAGGGAAATGTTACGTCATGTTACAAGAACCATAATGGCACTATATTCTTTAAGAAAACTTGAAGATTTCAACTGTTAAATTTCTAAAAGAAAAAAATAACTTATTTTGTTTAACAGACACAATGCAAAGCATCTATTGACATTGGGAGGAAGACACTCTTACAGAATGGAAGATTTGTGTGAGCTACAGAGACCTCTGTTAGGAAACCAGATGAATAGCAAACCGTTTAGTCATGTACTGATTGGTGGAACCTCAGCCCAGGAGGGGCCTATATCTCCCCATGACCTCTCGCCGATCTGCAGCCAGCGGGGTCCAGGCAACTCTCCCATCAGCACGGACTCCCAGTCGGTGCCACAGCTCCTGGACACATGCTCACTGCAGAACACCGTGGAGTCTCTCTACTGTCCAAGCCTAATGCCTCATGTAGATCCAAGGATCTGGGCAAGCCTCAAACACTGCACTGAGACCACATTCATTGAGAACAGGCCCGGGGATCAGGAGATCAGAAATTCCATGGAGCCCAAGGTTCTGGAATTGGATGGCCAGGCAAAAGTTCCGACCGTTTCAATTGATGTGGAGGACCTTTCATTTCCGGAAACCCAGGTAAATGATTCCTTGTTGGGAATGTGGGAAATGTTTTCCACGATATTCCTGTATCCCTTGATATCTTTAATATTGTATTTAGAAATCTATCAATCTCTGGCTTGAACATAAGACCATAAGATATAGGAGCAGAATTCGACCATTTGGTCCATTGAGTCTTTTCCACTGTTCAATTATGGCTGCTTTGTTTCTCAACTCCATTCTTCTGCCTTCTCCCTGTAACTTTGATCCCCTTATATCTATCTCTGTCTTAAATACGCTCAATGACTTGGCCTCCACAGCCCTCTATGGCAATGAGTTCCACAGATTCACCACCCTCTGACTGAAGAAATTCTTCCTTGTCTCAATCCTAAAGGGTCGTCCCTTCACCATAAGGCTGCACCCTCAGGCCCTAGTCTCTCCTACTAGTGGAAACGTATTCAATGACTGAGCAACTACAGCCCTCCTGACTGAAAAGAAGGGTCTATGCCCAAAATGTCAGCCTTCCTACTCCTCTGATGCTGCTTGGCCTGCTGTGTTCATCCAGCTCTACACCTTGTTATCTCTGACAAGATGTTTGTTCTAATGTTAGGCTTTCTTTGAAAGTAACTCTCAGTGCCTGGGAAATTTAAAATATTTTCGGAGTGTGACTAGAGAATTATGCTTCTCTCACTCAGCGTTAAACTCACTTTTATTAATTTATCTTCAACGCTGTTGATTTTTGCAATAATTCCCTAATTATTCACTTCTGTGAAATAAAGCAATAATTCACATGATTGAAACAACTGGGATTTATTTTAATTAGTTCCCTTGGGAATACAGTAACATTAGAGAGAAATTTACAGCAGCAAAAACCCAATGAAATCTGTAAATAGTTTATAATAGCTCAGGTAGATTGAGAAAAAGAAAGAGGGAAAGGAATGAAAACAGACAGAGCAAAAGAGGGAGAAAGAGAGATTAGATGAAGAGGAAGAAACATAGAAAATAAGAGCCAGGAGTAGGCCATTCGGCCCTTTGAGCCTGCACCAGCATTCAATATCAGTCAGAATCATACTGAATGGTGGCACAGGCTTGAAGGGCCGAATGCCCTGCTCCTGCCCTGTTCCGATTTTCAATGTTTCAATATGATCATGGCTGATCATCCAACTCAGCTCCCTGTTCCCACTTTCTGCCCTAAGAACTATATCTATCTCCTTCTTGAAAATATTCAATGTTTGGCCTGAACTGCTTTCTGTGGTAGAGAATGCCACGGGCTCACCACTCTCTGAGTGAAGAAATTTCTCTAAACTGGAGATGGTTCAGAAAAGATTTACCAGGATGTGACTTGGAATGGACGGTTTGAGATGTAAAAATAGATTGGAAAGGCTGGGCAGTTTTTCACTGGAGTGTCGGAGATTGAGGGGTGACCTTATTGAAGTTTATAAAATCATGAGAGGCATAGATAAGGTGAATGACAAGGGTCTTTTCCCTTGGCTGTGGGATTTCAAGACTAGAGGGTATATTTTTAACATGAGAGGGGAAAGTAGTAAAAAGGACATGAGGGACAACATTTTTACAGAGTGGTTGATGTGTGGAATGGACTGCCAGAGAAAGTGGTGGATGCAGATACAATTACAATGTTTAAAAGATATTTGGATAAGTTCATAAATAGCAAAAAGGTTTGGAGGGATATGGGCCAAGCGCAGGCAGGTCGGACTAGTTTATTTTGGGAACATGATTGGCATGGACTGATTAGACCGAAGGGTCTGTTTCCATGCTGTACGACTCTATGACTCAGTGTTAAATGGCCTACCCCTTATCCTTAGACTGTGACCCCTGGTTCTCGACTCCCTGGAATCTGAAACATCCTTCTTGTGTCTACTCTGTCAAGTCCTGTTGGAATTTTATAGATTTCTATAAGATCCCTTCCTCATTCGACAGTGAGAGAGGTAAGAGAAAGAAAGGGAGAGATGGTTAGTTAGAAGAGAGATAAATGGAGAGAAAGACAAACAGAGAGAGACAGAGGGATACAGAAAGATAGAATGAAAGAAACAGAAAGAGATAGACGGACAGAAACAGCAGGAATGAGAAAGAGTCAGAGAGATAGAGGCAGAACCTTGCATCTTTGCCTGTGGTGCGTTTAGTGTTTGGGACAGGGATGAATTTAAACAGGCAGCAGAGTATTGGGAGAGACCTCATGTCCTTAATGCTTCAACCAACATTGTTAAAACAGATGATCTAGTCACTAGAGATAATAGGAACTGCAGATGCTGGAGAATCCGAGACATATGATGCTGCTTGCCCTGCTGTGTTCATCCAGCCCTGCACCTTGTGATCTAGTCATTATCACATTTCTCTTTGTGGGAGCCTGCTATGTGCAAATTGGTTCTCGTGTTTCCTGCAATAGTGACCGCACTTAAAAAGTGTCTCATTGGCTGTCAAGCAGAGTGTCCTGCATTCAGGAGAGGTGCTATTTAAATGCAAGCCTTTCTTTAAGTACTTTTTACTTTTCCTTGACTTAAATTGACAGCACAAGATCAGGACAGATTTAGCTAAGGCTGATAAAGAATAGCTGTTCCTTTCAGCTGATGGTACAGACTGAGGAACACTGATTTAAAGTTCTGGGCAAGAGATGCAGTGAGAGTTTGAGGAAGAACTCTCCTACATAGTGAGTGGTAATGGCTCAGAAAGCCAGTCTGTACAAAGATATCTTTCTTTTCCTCTCTTTCTAAAACATGTTTGTGTTTATTTGCAAATATCAGTTGGGGGTGTTTGTAAGTGTAAATTTTTAAATATTATTGATTGTGTAAGTTCATCAATTGCTGCATCTTTATTGGATAATTTTTGATTAAGCAATAAACCCATAATTCTTTAATAAGAAACTTGGTTGATGGATCCTTTTAAGTTTAAAACCTGATATAGAACCAGGGAGACCTAGAGGTTCAGATACTTGGTTCTTTGAAAGTTGCAACACAGGTAGACAGGGTGGTGAAGAGTGTGTTTAGCACGCTTGCCTTCATTGCTTAGACCATTGAGTAAAGAGTTGGGACAATATGTTGAGGTTGTACAGCACATTGGTGAGGCCACTTTTGGAGTACTGTGTGCAGTTCTGGTTGCCCAGCTATGAAAAGGATATTATTAAATTGGACGGGGTTCAGAAAAGATTTACCAGGATGTTACTAGGACTGGAGGGTTTGAGTTAAAGTGAGAGGCTAGATAGATAGGCTAGGATTGTTTTCAATGGAGCGTAAGAGGTTGAAGGGTGACCTCATAGAGATTTATAAAATCATGAGGGGCATAGATAAGGTGAACAGCAAAGGTCTTTTCCCTAGGGTGGGTGAGTTCAAAACTGTAGGGCACATTTTTCAGGAGAGAGGAGAAAGACTTAACAGGGACCTGAGGGATAACTTTTTCACACAGAGTATGGTTCATATGTGGAATGAGCAGCCAGAGGAAGTGGTAGATGCAGGTACAGTGACAACATTTAAAAGACATTTGGATGGGTACATGAATAGGAAAGGTTTAGAGGGATATGGGCCAAACGCAGGCAAATGGGACAAATTTAGTTTGGGAAACTTGGCTGCCATGGACGAGTTGGACTGAAGGAACTGTTTCCATGCTGTGTTACTCTATGACTCTGTGACTGTGGAACCAGCTACCTATGAACGTGATGGAAGTGGAGGTGATCAATGGTTTGGGAATGGGATTGGAACTGGGATTGCTTTGCTCCACGGAGAGCAAGCACGGATTCAATGAGCCGAATGCTCTCCTTTGTTGTAATGACTGCATGGTTCTATTTGCTACTTGTGGGATCTTGCAATGTACCATTGCTTGTTCTCCTGGCCTACACAAGTATCTTATTTGGTTAGTAATTAATTGGCTACATACTGCTTTGGAGTGTCCTGAGGTGGTACTGTGTTGTTACGTAAATGCCTTAATTTCTTGCAATAAACCTTCTTAAAATATATCTTTTCTCTTAAAATTCCAACTAGTCCTAATTTATGTGTTTGGATATTTTACATGAGCTCAATCACAAGAACACAGAAAACAGAATCACAGAAGTATTACAGCATAGAAGGAGGCCATTTGGCCCATCATGTCTGAACCGGCTCTCCAAGTGAGCATTGTTACCTACTGCCAATTTCCTGCCTTTTCCCAGCAACTTTGCACATTATTTCTATCTAAATAATCATTCAATGCCCTCTTAAAGAGGAGCAGGGATGGACCATTCGGCCCCTCAGGCCTATTCAACCATTCGATGCAATCATAATCAATCTTGGGCTTCAGCCTCACTTTCCCACCCACTCCCTGTGACCCTTGATTCCCTGAGAGACCAAAAACCCTGTCAATCCTAGCCTTAAGTATGTTCAACAATAGAGAATCCATAGCCCTCAGGACTACAGAATTCCAAAGATTCATAATCCTTTGAGTGACCACAATCCTTCCCATCTCAATCTTAAATGGCTGTTCCAACAGCCAATCTTTTCGTTACTATTCTCAATATGACTTGACATCCAGCAAGTCACCCATGGACATTTTTCTAAGTTAAAGCACTATATAAATGCATGTCACTGTTGGAGTTTGTGGTGAATTTGAACGTGGACCCATAGGTGAAAACCACTCCTCCATAATGTCATATTTCACCCTGACAGTATTTGTGGTCATGATGGTCAGAAGCGCATGGGGCCCAGTGGTTAGCACTGCTGCCTCACAACGCCAGGGACCTGGGTTTGATTCCACCCTCAGGTGACTGTGTGGAGTTTGCATGTTCTCCCTGTGTCTGCAAGAGTTTCCTCCCACAGTCCAAAGATGTGCAGGTTAGGTGGATTGGCTGTGGGAAATGATGGGTTACAGGGATAATGAAAGTGAGTGGGTCTGGGTGGGATGCTCTTTGTGGGGGTCGGTGTAGACTCGATGGGCCGAATGGCCTACTTTTGCACTGTAGGGATTGTGATTCTGATTCTATGATATTGATGTTGTCACAGAGTAATTACTACAATGACGGGGACAGTGATAGTGACAGTGACAGCACACTCTCATTCAACATTCCCCAGGATTATCTGGGACTTGCCATCTTTTCAATGCTCTGTTGTTTCTGGCCAATGGGAATTGCTGCATTTTACTTATCACAGAAGGTAAGATGCTGTTTTCTTCATATTCTCGCTGAAGTATTCCAGATTTCATTTGTAAGATCACATCAGCCTTTTGTAATCTGGAGTTTAGAAGATTGAGAGGCGAGCTAATTGAGCTGTTTAATATAACTGAGGAGGTTTTGTCTAGCACAGTACGTAGCATCTCTACCTCTGAGCCAGAAGGCCCAAGTTCAGTTCCACTCCGGGATTTGACAACAAAGTTGAAAATTAAATAACAACCAAAGGAGCTGCGGATGCTGGAAATCAGAAACTACAGGAAAAGTTCAATAGGCCTGGCAGCATCTATGCTGAGAAATCAGTGTTAATGTTTCCGGTCCAGTGACCCTTCCTCAGAACTCACAGAACATCAGTTCTGAAGAAGAGTCACTGGACCTGAGACATTAACTCTGATTTCTCTCCACAGATGCTACCAGACCTGCTCAGCTTTTCCAGCAATTTCTGTTTTTGTTTGTGTTTGAGGTTGAATGCTGATTTGTAAATCTGACCATAAGATGTGGGAGCATTCAGCCCATTTGGGACTGCTCCACCATTCAATAGGTTCATGTCCAATCTTATCATCCTCAATTCCACTTCATGACCTTAATCTTTGATTCAGTTACTGGTCAGTAATCTGTTTATCAGAGCCTTGCCTATACTTAATGACCCAGCCTCGACAGCCCTCTGCGGTAAAGAATGCCACAGATTCACTACCCTCAGAGAGGAAATTCCTCATCTTTTCCCACACATCAATTGCAGATGGTAAGGGTGGAGAAATTCCTGATCTGCCAAGAACGAAAGAAATTGGAGCATCTACTGCTGTCACTATTCATAGGTCCTAGCTACAACATGCATGTAAGAATGTATGATACCATAGTGACTTGGACTCCTTGGATTTGGCAGATGGAGTTGTGGTATAGAGCACTGGTTGGCTTCATTGGTTGGATATCTGGCCCGCATCAGATTGGTGCCAATTCATGGTTCAATTCAAACCCATTTTGGGTTCAGTGGATTTGGGACCTGCCCTTTTGCGCTAACTTGACAGAGATTGCTGTGCTGTAAGTTGGACCTGCCCTGAGGCAGAATACTGAAGAACCTGATTAAAGGTCTTGATACAGAGAAACTACCTCCTCTGCTGGGGGAGTTCCAGGATGAAGGCACACAAACTTGAAATGAGAAGTGAACAGTCAAAGCCTGAAACCAGGCAGCATGCTTACACACTCAATGCAGCAGAAGTCTGGGAGCTCCTCCTTCAAATGTCTGTAGGTTCTGGATGTCAATTGGAGATTTCCAGAGAGATTGATAAGATTTTTATTAATCAATAACAAATATTGCTGGTGCAGACAGAATGGGCCAAATGGCCTTCTTCTGCACTGTAACAATTCTGTAAACAGATATGGAGCAAAGACAAGTAAATGGAGTTGAGGTACAAAGGAAGTCTGTTTCAATAAATGGGCAGTGTCTAGGGCCTGAATGGCCTGCTCTAGCTCCTGAATTTCCAGCTACCTGCTTCATTGAAGGTGAAAGGGCATCTTACCAGAAACATCTCTGCTTATTGTTGTTGACAGTGTGGCATCACAGTAATTAAACTTCATCAGCCATTCAGCTCTTTTAAATAGAATGAAATTCTCCAACTGTGGCCTTTTGAACATGCCCAATTTTAACTACCACACCTGTGTCTCTTGAATTTCCTCCTTCAACTTTCCCATTTACAACCTCCTTTAAGATACTTCCTAAAAAGAATTGAGTGTCTTAATAGCTCCCCCTATGTGGCTCACTGTCAAGTTTGTTTCCTGTGAGGCACCTTGGGATGTTTTAACATTGAAGGTATACGTAAACATAGGCTGTTGTTGAACAAGCAGCTTCCAATATCCTCATTCCTCACGAAATGGAAATAACTTTCACTGCCTCTCGGTTTTTGTTCCTGCAATGCAACAATTATCTGTTTGATCTTGTGCCCTGCAGACCAGCAAAGCCACAGCCAAAGGGGACTATCGGCAGGCCAGCTCAGCCTCCAGGAAAGCTCTGTGCACAGCCATCTGTTCTATTGCTCTTGGGGTCTGCACCTACATCGGAGGCATGGTGGCTCTGGTGATATACATGGCAAAGAACGGCCACTCGTAGTACTGGGGCCTGGTAGGCACCAGCTCCATGTGAGCTGACACTGACAGGAGAGACTCACTGGACAACTGTCTGACTCCCGCAGAGCTGTGATACAGGACAGCCCATCAGGAGAATCAGCTACCATCTGTCTAAAGGTAACCAACACACTTGGCTGCAGGGAATGGATGGAGCTCAAGCTGTTTTGTGGAACATCTTGCTACAGTGGCACAGCCATTTCACTGATCCAACAATTGGTTCAATTGACAATAAATGGAAGGATTCACCTTCAGAGAGCCTGGACTAAATCAGGGATCAGAGTTCTCCATCATGTTGTATGTTCATAATCATCCATAACAGAGTTTCAAAAGTCTGGTTATGGTTTCAAGTCTCACTCCAGATTTGAGTACACACCCAATGCCATTCCTGAGAGCGTACTGCACTGCCGGAGCTGTTACCTTTTGAACGAGACATTAAACTAACACCCGTTCTCAGATGACAGTAAGAGCTACCATGGCACCATTAAGAACAAGGAAGTTCACCTCGATTGTACTGACTAATGTTTGTGCATCATCTACTGATCAGAAATAGGTAACTGGGTCATTGTCATGTGGGAGCTTGCGGTGTGCAAATTGGCTTGTGTATTTCTTACATAACCACAGTGACTATTCCAAAGCAAATATACAGAGTATAAATATACAGAGATATTGCTAATGCCAAGATGCTAGTTAGAGCGCACCTGCAGTACGGTGTTAGATTCCAAAACTTGCACAATATTGGCAGCCAAATTAAAACATTTCTGGGACTAGAGTGCAACTCCCCTGCAATCAAGCACATTGAAAGCTATCCCACAGGTTCAGTGTACTCTTTCTAGAGCTCTACATCAAGGGCTCAAATTTTTTTTCTCCTCCCCCCAGTGCCAGAAACAGATACATTAACTGCATTCACTTGCTGCAGCTAATCATTTGGAATAGACTGCAGCAACTAAGATAAGTGCAAGAGCTAAAAGCTTTTGGATTTCAAGGCAGGGTATTTGGCAGAGACGTGAATAAAGAACCGGGCAATCTACATTCGAACAAACACTAAATTTACTGAAAGCATTTTTTAAATGAGAAATGTGACATCAACTACACTCGCTAGCATAATATTGCACAAGGTTTTTTTTGGAAAATTCATTCTGGAGATGTGGGCGTCATTAGCAATGTTGATATTTATGGCTTATCCCTAGTTACTGTTGAGTAGGTAACAATGATGGTTTCCTTCTTACAGTTATTGTCTTTTGTGAAGGTATGTCCCTGAGATATTAGAGTAGAGTGTTAGGACTTGGACCTAGCGATGAAGAAGGTACTTAATAATACCTTATCCAAATCAGGGTGGTGAGTGATGTGGTGATGTTTTTTTGTAGACTCACTGACCTTGTCCTTCTCGGAGATTGAGGAGATACTGTGGATAAATCTTTACTAAAAGATGTCGTGTGTCTTGGTAACACCGTACAGCTATGGTGGAGGCAGTGAGTGCCCAAAGTGGTCAATGGGATCTCAATCAAGGCTTGTCATAGAGTTGTATAACAATGAAACAGACCCTTTGATCCAACATGTCTATTGCTGACCAGATATCCTAAATTAATCTAGTCCCATTTGCAAGGATGTGGTCAATATTCCTCTAAACTCTTTCTATTCATATTCCCATCCAGATGCCTTTTTAATGTCATTGTACCAGCCTCTACCACTTCCTCTGGCAGCTCATTCCATGCACGCACCACCCTCTGTGAAAAAGTTGTCCCTTAGGTCCCTTTTGAATCTTTCCCCTCTCACCTTAAACCCATGCCCTCTAGTTTTGGACTCCCCTACTCAGGGGAAAAAGACCTTGACTAGGTCACCCTATCCATGCCCCTCACGATTTTATAACTTCCATAAGGTCACCCCTCAGCCTCTGACACTCCAAGGAAATTAGCCCCAGCCTATTCAGCCTCTCCCCATAGCTCAAACATTCCAACCCTGGCAACATCCTTGTAAATCTTTTCTGAACCCTTTCAAATTTCACAACATCTTTTCTATAGCAAGGAGTCCAAAACTGAACACAGTACTCCATAAGTGGCTTAACCAATGTCAACTTGCTTTGTAGTAGACTGCTGTTGCACCTGGATCTCGACAGTGTTTTCAAACATGTCCTCTTAGCCAGCCACTGAAATACTGAACTAGATAAACCAGAAAAATCCCAGCTTTGATTTCAGTCTGGAAGTTAGGGATAATCGAGCAGAACTCATGCTTTGGAATATGGCTAGTGACTCTGGCTAGAAGGTGAACGGGGTAAAGAAAGAATCTACATTTCTATAGCTTTTCTTCTTTACTATAGGACATTCCAAAACCCTTCCAGCCAATTAAGTTACTTTCACTGTTGCAGTGCAGGAAACGTAGCAGCCAGTTTGTGCATAGCAAGCTCCCATAGATCACATCACAATTAAATTGATCACCCTCACAAGTGTAGGGAAATCCTGCTGCAGTCACCATCACACAGCCTGGCAGCACCTAGTCAGGCCTCACCATCAGTTCAAGACAGGGCAGAAGCAAGAAAATTTATATTCAATTGTGTTCCATCAAGACAGGTACAGTATGGGTTAGATATGCAGAGTAAAGCTCCCTTCTATGGTACTATTGGCATACTTTTTGGTGGTAAGCGGGGATCTGGTGGAAGACCTGATCCTGGTTGATTAAATTTTTGCACTTCTTTCAACATTAACTTTCAAAGCATCTAGATGCACTGTTGTGATCAGCAGGTACCTGACTGAGTTGTGGGACTAGTCAATAGCAATCTTCACCCTGCTCAATTCTCAGAACTGAGCATTTGTTTCCTAAATTATAATAATCTCCATTAATCTCAAACCCCATGGAGGCCAATTATATGCATTCATTCACTCAGGGGGGAATTGAGGAACTTTGTTAAGCCCAAGCAGATATTCATAGCTCATGTTGAAGACAATTTTACATTAAATGCAAAAATTGCCCCTTTTGCAGCTTCACCAGTTTCATAAGACCCACTGCCAAATCTCACCCCTACCATACAGCTGCGTTATCCTAGGCATTATGACTGGGATCCCCTGCAACAGAGTGCCCCAGGCAACATGCACCCTGGGCATCCTGTACCCCAGGGACAGTGAGTGCCCCAGGCAAACTGGTGTGCCGAGGAGAAACATTTCCCCTGCACACCAGGGTAAACCAGCACCTAGGCAGCCTGCACCCTGGCCAAATCAGGGGAGAACAATGCGTCAGGGAACCTGCACCCTCAGGAGAGACAGCACCCAGTCAGCCCGCATTTTGGGGACAGTGAGTGCCCTCGGCAAACTGTACCCTGGAGACAGACAGTGCCCTGAGTAAGCTGCACCCTGCGGTGAGCGGACATCCCAGCTGCCTGTACCCTGGAGACAGTTGACACCATCAGGGTGAAGAGAGAAAACTGGCAAAAGGCTGCTTTTTCTGAAGAAGGGTCTAGGCCCGAAACATCAGCCTTCCTGCTCCTCTGATGCTGCTTGGCCTGCTGTGTTCATCCAGCTCTACACCTTGTAGTCACAAGGCTGCTACTCTGTTGCTGAGATACAGAAAGCAGGAACAGCCATATTGCAAAACAAACACCCTTTAAACCGGACATGAAAGCAGTGATTCTAGGGCTGGCATTTAGACCAGATTTGCCAATGACTGCAAATGGATAAACAAACCAGAATTTTATTTGTTGTAACCACTATTTCTGAGACCTGAACAGAATGAAAGTTGTAGAATTAGATGAAACAAAACTGTAATTCTTAAGCATTAAACTTTATTTTAAAAAAAAGTTACTCCTTCCTGACTCTTATACACTTGCAAAGCATGTATCTGGCTTACAGCGTGTAATGCACTACAGTGCTGAAACAGCTGAGAGTTACTAATTCTCTCAGACCAGCTCAGAATACCCACAGATATTCACAGGATTGACCAACAGTGATCACGGAGGGCTCATGACCATGATACAAGCAGAGAATATTCAACGCTCTCCACCAGAGACTGTCTGTTGGCTTCATTCTGAACTGGAGGGCTCTTGGCTTTCCTGAAAGGTCCTTATCACTTTACTGCTCCCGCCTCTAGTCGCTCATTTTCGAGTATTTCCTGCTCACCGAATCCCTGTAGAATTGGAAGATTTTCTCTGCTGCTTTCTGGCACATTGCAACACACTGTTGGAGCTATGTGAAGAGACAAAGAGCGTTAGCAACATCGTTGAGATTGCCTTCCCCCACTTCCTAACAGGGCTCCAGGCAAAGGGATAGGCCACTGTAAAAACTGAACATTAAGGAAGGCAATAGTACAAATATAAAATATCAGCAGTGATAACAGGCAGCTTGGGATAAATAGAAAACTGTACAGAGCAGAATGGGAAGGCAGGGACTAGCTAAATTACATCTATTATCTGGAATTTACAGCACAGAAATAAGCTGTTCATCACAACACCTCCACACCTGTCCATACCCTATCTCTGACACCATGTCCAGTTCTAAAACTAATATTCCTTATAACTGGCCAAGTACCCCCAAGTTACTGTATGTGGGGCTGTGTGAAAAGATTTGAAGGCCCACATGCTTTAATGAGCGGACTTACTAAATGTAAAAAATTACAAGGAACGTTACCTCCAACTCTCCAAGATCAACGCACACCTCCAATTTTGATCTCTTGCACCTTTCGGACTTTAGATTACCACAGAAAGCCTGTGTCATCAGCTGCCTATTCCCCAAGCACATCTTCCCAAAATCTTGCCAACTCCCTTTCTTAGATTCACATGCTCTTGCACCAAGCTTCTGGGTCACCTCTACATTGCTCAGTGTCTCATGTTGTTGGACAACACTACTGCACAAACAATTAAATGTCTGACAATATTTGAAACAGGTTACAAATACAAGCAATCAGTTGTTGTTGCTGGAGTTAATGCTCTATATGAGCCTTTCCCTACCCTCCATCATCTAGTCCCATTAACCAAACCTTCAATTCATTTCTCCCTCACTTGTACTGAGTTTTAATTTACATGCAGTTATTTGCCTCAAACACTCCACTTTAACTGCCACATTCTGACCATTCTCTTGGTAAATATATTTCTCCAGATCTCTCTATTGAAATGATAAGTGACTATTTTATAACTATGTCCCCTACATTTTGGATTCTCTAGAATTGGAAACAGCTTCTTTACATCTAATTTATCAAACCCATCAAATTATCAAGATCTCTAGAAAAGTCTCCCTTTTGCCTCATGCTTTTTTTGTTAAGAAAATAGGAGAGAGAAGCAACCTGTTCAATATTCCCTGATGGTCATAACTTCAGAGTTTTGGTATCATCCTTTTGCACATTCACCACGAACATGGACACTCAGCTGTGCAGTCAGAGTGCGGTTGACCAACCACGCAAGAGTCTTGCCACTTCAAGTCACACTTCAGACCATCTTTTCTGAGAAAGCGGCTGAAGACTGAGAAAGTTCAGAGGTCAGACAGCAATAAGCCTGCACACTTGTTAATGAAACCACATGCCACATTGGCACAGAACTTGTTCACAGCAGAAGATAGAATGCCACACTGTGTGCAACATTAAGCAGGAGGTGCCCAGAATTCTACCCTGCAGTACTTTACAAACGATCCAGTTTGTGATTTAGCCCACATACTTGTAGATTATTAAAGAGTAATTAGAACTGACAGATACTGGATTCAGAGAGGCTCTCATTGCAAGCATTGAGCGAAGAAAACATCAAGAAGAACTAAAAAGACTATTTGCACAATTATTAAGATAATTATCCTATGGGTGAAGGCAGTGTTGAATCACACAGACCTAGCAAGATGCTAAATGCCATCCATGGCCTGTACCCAGTTGGTCAACATCAGCTAGAGGAGGAAACAAGGTCATGACAAACAGCCTCAGCTAATTTAAGTTTCAGTTGGGGCTCAGTGGGTAGCACGTTCACTTCGGAATCAGATTGGGTTCAAACTGTACTTCAGGGACGGCAGTACATCTCCTAAGGGAACGCTGCATTGTGGGAGGTGCCAATTTATAAATGAGACATTAAAGGGAGGGAGGTTGGGGGTGGGGGTGGGGATGGGGAGGGGGAGATACAGTGAGGAAGAGGAAGAGACAGAAAAGTTTACAATAGTTAACTCTCCCCTCCCCATACCCCACTCCCAAGTGCTTTGTCACTAACCAGGATGGTACAGACCTCCTCGACAACAGGAAAAGTGTTCAATTTGATGTTATATCTCTTTAATTTTTAATTAGGCAATTTATATTCATCAAGAGGTTAGTGGGAAGACTGTAGATGAAAAGAAATAATCAAAGCCCTGTTCTCTAACAGAACTAATTTGCATTAAAGTGCCAATTACAGCACAATCTAATTAACAGATTTTCACCACAAGCTAGTGGCCATACTGACATTAGACTTCAGTGTTCAGTACAAGTGCTCACTTAGATTTTCAATTCCCTTTTAACCCTTCAACCAGGGTGTGCACAATATAATCTACATTGTCAGTGCCCTTTCTACCCCACACTGACACACTGCAACCAACACTGTTCTCACATGGCTTTCTCTGACAATCTATTTACATATTAACATATGAATTGGAGCCTGCACTGCCATTCAACACAATCATGGCTGTTCTGACTTCTTCACATTCTTGCCTATCTCCGATAACTTTGCACCTTTTGCTTACAAAAAAAGTTATCCAGCCCTGCCTTAAAAATATTCAAACACTCTGCTTCCACCACCCTGAGGAACAGAGTTCCATAGACTCTCAACCCTCGGAGAAAAATAAAATCTCCTTATCTCTCGCTTAAATGGGTGACCTCTCATTTTTAATGAGTGACTCCCTAATTCTAGGTTCTCCCACAAGACAAAGCATTCTTTTGACATCCACCCTGTCTAGACCCCCCAAAGATCATAAGACGACTTGCCCATTCCAGGTAAAAACCAAAAGAACTGCGGATGCTGTAAATCAGGAACAAAAACAGAAGTTGCTGGAAAAGCTCAGCAGGTCTGGCAGCATCTGTGAAGGAAAAATTCAGAGTTAACACTTCGGATCCACTGACCCTTCCCCAGAACTTTTATGCTGCCAGACCAGCTGAGCTTTTCCAGCAACTTCTGTTTTTGTTGCCCATTCCAGGTTTTAGTGTAGTAAACCTTCTCTGAACTTTAAATTTACATTCTTCTTTAGGAAAAGCTAATACTGTACACAGTACTCCAGAAGCAACATACAACCTCCCGACTTCTGCATTCAATTTTGTTTGCAATAAATGAAAATATTTTATTCGCTTCCTAAATTACTTGCTGTACCTACACAGGAACTTTTTGCAATTCATGCACTAGACACCCAGATTCCTTTGCCTCTCAAAGCTTTGTAATCTCATACCATTTAAGACCATATGAAATAGAACCAGAAATAGGTCATTCAGTCCCTTGAGCCTGCTCTGCCATTCAATAGGATCATGGCTGATCCGACATTCCTCATATCCACCTTTCTGCATTTTCCCCTAATTCTTGATTCCCCTACTTGTCAAGAATCTATATGAGCCCTAAATATACACATAGACTCTGCTCCCACAGCTCTCTGTGGCAAGGTGATCCAAAGACTCTCAACCTTCCAAGAGAAGAAATTCCTCCTTATCTCAATCTTAAATTGGTGCCCCTTTATTGAGACTATGCTACCAGACTCTCCCATGAGGGGAACATCTCTCAGCATTTACCTTGTCAAGTCCCTTAATAATCCTGTATGTTTCAATGAGATCACCTCTCATTCTTTGAAACTCCAGTGAATGAAGTCCCAACTTGTTTAGCCTTCGCTCAAAAGACAATCAGGGGATCATCTTAGTCTCTCTACTGAACTGTCTTCAATGAAATAACATAGATCTCCAAGTAAGGAAATCAAAGCAGCACAGTGGCTCAGTGGGTAGCACTGCTGCCTTACAGTGCCAGGGACCCGAGTTTGATTCCAGCCTCAGGCGACTGTCTGTGTGGAGTTTGCACATTCTCCTTGTGTCTGCATGGGTTTCCTCCCACAGTCCAAAGATATGCAGGTTACATAGATTGGCCATGCTAAATTGCCCGTAGTATCCAGGAATCTTCAGGCTAGGTAGATTAACCGTGGGAAATGCAGGGCTACGGGGAGGGGAATGGGATGCCCTTCAGGGGGTTGATATGGACTGAAGGGGCCAAATGGCCTGCTTCTCATCTGTAGGGATTCTATGAAAGCTGCTCATAGTACTCCAGATGTGGTCTCACCAGCATCTTGCACAATTGCAGTAAGACCTCCTTATTCTTACATACCAAATCCCTTGAAATAAGGACCAACATTCCATGAGCCTTCCTGATTACCTGCTGTCTGTGTGCTAGTTTTCTATTTTTCGTACACAAGTACCCCAAGTCCCTTTGTGTTACAGCGTTCTGCAGTTTTTCTCACTTTAAATAATAGTGTTCTTTTGTTCTCCCTTCCAAAATGAACTTCACATTTTCCCATATTATACTGTTTGCCAACTTTTTGCCCACCTATTTACCAATGAAAAAATCGCGGTGTAGACTGTTTATATCCCTCTCACAACTTGCCTTTCCACCTACTTTTGTGTCATGTACAAATGTGATTACAGTACATTCCCTTCCTTCGTCCAAGTCACTAATCTATATTGTAAACCATTGCGGCCCGAGCAATGATCTCTGTGGAACCCCACTGATTACAAGTTGTCAACCTGAAAAAGAACCCCTTATCCCCACTCACTGTTTTCTGTCCATTAGCCAACTTTCAATTCATGAGATGCTATTTAAAAAAAAAGTTTCCTTTTTATTCTTATTGCCAAAAACGGAAAATCTGCCATCACCATACTTTCCATTATTTCCCCAGACTCACTTTCTGTAGGACCAATGCTCGCTTTGTTAACTAATTTATAAACATTTATAAAAATTGGCTTTATACTTTTAGTTAGCTTTCTCTCCTATTCTAATTTAATCTTCCTTGTTAATCTTTTGAACACTCTTGGCTTTTGTATATTCAGTCCAATCTCTGACCTCCCACCCACCTCTGTGCAATTATACACTTCCTCTTAAGTTTGATACAAGCTTTAACATTTTTAATTAACCACAGAATGAGTCCTCCTAGGCAATTTCTCTTTCTCGTTGGAATGTAACTATTCTATACATTCTGAAATATCCACCACTGCATCTCTATTGACCAATCCCTTAACCTAGTTCTCAGTTCACTTTAGTTCGTTCAGATCTACTGGCCTCATAATTGCCCCAGTTAACTTTAAAACACCAGTCTTAGATACGCTTGTCTCCTTCAAAATGAATGGAAATCCAATCATATTATGTTCACAGCTACCTTGGAGATATTTTCACTATAGGTTTACTAATTAATCTGACTGCATTACACAATACCAGGTCTAGAGTAGACTCCTCTCTGGCTGACTCTGAAGCTTGACGTTCTAAGAACGATCCTAGAGTCATTCTATGAACTCTTCTAGGCTACATCTGCCCATCTGATTTTTCAGTCTATATGTATATTAAATCTGCTGTGCTGTACCTTTCTAACAAGTTCCCATGATTTCTTCTTTTATACTTTAGTTACTATTAGGGAGTCTGTACACCACTCCCACAAGAGATTTCTTGCCTTTATCATTTCTCATCACCCAAATTGCTTCTACATCCTTGTTTCCTGAATGTGGATCATGCCTCTCTATCATGTTAATGCCATCATTAATTAAACAGAACCACCCCTCCACCTTCTCCTAGCTTCTTGTCCTTTCTAAATGATGTGCTCTTCAATATTCAGGTTCCATCGTGCAGTTATTTCACTTCGTGACAGCTACTGAAATTTGGTGACAATCCGGTTCTGAGCCACAGAAAGCTGGGTGAGAGGACCAAGTTTGATCTCTTTCCCACTGAATTCAATCCTGTGGCGCATGCTGATCTGTCAACCCTGGTCACTATGGTAACCAGATTGCTTGCACTGGTCTATGTTTCCTGGGCTACAATACCTGATAACCCACACACTCAGAAAAAAACCTCAGACAAGGCTTACTCTTGATCAGTACCCAGCACACCTTACTGGTGAGTGTCCGCATATGTCCCTGGAGTGCAGAGTGGAGCACAACTACAATGCTGCCAAGGTAGACTGTGACACTTCCAAGGAGGAGACATTAAGAATTAGCATGGGAGAAGCAGAGGAAGGTGTCCGATGCCCATTCAAATTGTAAAGCTGAAAGACATGGTTGAGAGAGAAAAGGGGAAAACATGGAGATTTAGCCTCGCTCTCAAAACTAGATCTCTCCTGTGGCTGCTCATATAGCATCGCCTGGAACAGAGTGGTGTTTAATCTGGTCTGTCATTTAATCTGTAGTTCCAGCATGTACCCGAGGGCAAATATTCAAAAGACATAGTTATGTCTTCAACTCCCAAAGAGGGCTTTGGTCTCATTCCCAAACTGTCTTCAGTGGGGAATAAAAGAAATAAATAAGGTTAGAAGAGGTAAGGGTGGGAAGAGATTCGTGTGAAGCAAAAAATAACAATATGGACACGTTTGGCTAATGGCTTATTCCTGTACCGTACCTTCTATGTAAGTCTTCATATAATGGATCAAAGTTTCCACAGATGAAAGTTTTTTAAAAAAACATCGAGATATTACTAGATAGTAAGGATCTAAAGGCATTCAAAATCTTAAGCAGAAAGTTTCAGAATTTGGGCTCTGCAACAATTAAGGAATGGTAATAAAAGTCTAAATTGGGTTAATATATTATTTGGAGGTGGTGGTGTTTCCATATGCCTGTCCTTCCAGACGGAGGAGGTTGTGGATTTGGGAGTGTACTGCTGCTGAAGATGCACTTGTGAGATGTTTCTTTGCAGCTTGTAGAGCATACGCAGTGAAACCGAGGTGTGTGGGTGGTGGAGACAGTCACGGTTAAAGGTGGTAGACAGCATTTCAACAAGTCAGCTGTTTTGTTCTCGATGGTGCCCAACTTCTTGAGTGTTGGGAAGCTGCCCTCTCTAGTCATGGCTGGATGCACTTTTGAAAAGCACGAGATGGTAGCCTACTTATCGCCAGATCTCAGACCTGGAGGACACTGCTGAGATTGTCAGTTCCTCTTAACTTCTTGTTGTCTGACTTGCTGTAGTTGCCAAAACTTGTGCTATATTCTAGATCATTGAAGTTGATGTCAGTGTGTCTAGGTACAGCCTGAAGTGCTACAGATAAACTAACACAACATCCATGCCAGTCATTGAATATGAAATATATACAGTCCTGCCCCTTTATTACATGGAGCAATAACCCTCTTGTATCATGTCTACGGCCATTCAGCCATGATAGGAAAGTGTAGCTGGCATCAGGATATGACAGAACCCTGTGGAAAGAAACGAAGGCTGTGAGAGATTTTTTTGTTTTAAAAAAACATACCTCTTCAACAGAGTATGACCCTTTTGTGGATGACATCAGCAATTGCTTCTTGACACTGTCAATGGAGAATGTCAGAACAGCAGCAGCCTCCTGAAACCAACATGCAATTATACAAGGAGTTTTCAGCACAGTATAGCTAGTAGCAGGTTCGTATAGGATTAACAACATTCAATAATGCTGGTCAAACTGACTCCTCTACATGTAAACCTTTCTCACTGGTGGAACAATGGCAGCTTGGTTCAGTTGGCAGCAATGTTGCCCAAATCAGAGGTTATGGGTTTGGATACCACCAGTGCTCCCTCTAACCTGAGCAGGTGCACAGTTGCGCAGAACTCATTGTGCAATACAATACGTTATGCCAGGCACAATCAATGCTTCCTACAAGATACACACATGCACAACCATGCAACAATGTTAAAGGGACAATGCAGTGCAACAAATAGGCCACACAAAGGAAAATTGATGGTACCTAAAGTTGCCTCTAAGCTGCACTCTTGCACAACCACAGAACAATGAAAGGTACAGAGCAGACACTGTGTATATGGATGTGCTCAATCATAGAGGAAAAATTCAAGGCATCACACATTTGTATGCATGGCATGCTCATTGCAAAAAAAATGAGGTGGGAGGGGAGATGTGTGTCAATGAGCACACGGATCTAAGCCAGCAAGTTAACTGACACTTAAATGTGGTACTGAGGGAGTGCCTGCTGTCAGGAGGTAGCATATTTCAGATTAAAACTAGGTTCCAAAGACCACGTGGCATGAACTGAACGTCAGAGGACCATTCAGCCTAGTGTTTCTCCTTCAGTCCAAGTCTCGAGAAACAGACGGCCTGGCCACTCATCTAGTTCCAGATTGCGGGGCCTAGCCGTGTGCAAACTGTGTTTGCTACATTACAAAAGGAATTCATTCATTATAAAAGCACTTTGTGATGCCCCGAGGTGGTGATATAAATGCAAATTCCTAAATGCAATGCATTTTCCAGTGCTTCAAGGGAGATATTTTTAATTTAATCAGGCGCATTGCCTGCTGAGATCTTACTGCCCTGGTGTTCCACACCACTAACCTTCTCCATCTTCGTCGTTGGATCTAAAAGGATGTCTCCATTGGAGTCAATCACACATGTGACGCCACAGAAAACACTTTTCATCGGCAGCCCAGCGTCCATTAAAGCCATGCAGGCTGCATTCAGACAGCAAGATAGTAGCTATTCCAGTCAGTTAAGGGTCTCTTTGGTGATGGAAACTTTAAAACAAAAGTTCATGCAACACAGACTAGCAAACCATGGGGATAGGGGAGTAAAACCATTTCCAGCATATGCGAACAGAGTCATAGAGATGTACAGCACAGAAACAGCCCCTCAGTCCAACTCATTCGTGCAGACCAGATATCCTAAATTAATCTGCCAGCATTTGGCCCATATTCATCTAAACCCTTCTTATTCATGTACCCATCCAGATACCTTTTAAAATGTTATAATTGTACCAGCCTCCACCACTTCCTCTGGCAGCTCATTCCATACATGCACCACCCTCTGCATGAAAAAGTTGCCCCTCAGGCTTTTTTAAATCTTTTCCTTCTCACTTTAAACTTGTGCCCCGAGTTTTGGACTCCCCAACGCTGGGGAAAAGACCTTGGGAATTCACCTTATCCATGCCCCTCATGATTTTATAAATCTCTAGAACGTCACTCCACAGCCTCCAACACTCCAAGGAAAATAGCCCCAGCCTATTTGGCCTCTCCCTTTAGTTCAAACCCTACAACCCAGCAACATCCTTGTTGAGAATGGTTAAGCACTGTAAACCATTTTTACTTTATGTATCCTTTCCACCTTGCTCCACTGAAACCGGGCCATGGAAAACGTTTGTCACCTTTCTCACATGTCAAATGTAGCAAGCTGCAAAATTAAAGCTGTGCTGAAGCGCCAGCCATGTTTCAACGGTCAGCATGTTCCCACCGCCACACTATAAAGTTGTGGATTCAGACAAGAGCCCATGGTGAAAATCCAGTGCTGTGAGGTAGCACGGCCCTGTCCGAGGGGCATTCAGACAAGATGCCAAAACCAAGGTCCTCTCTGTCATAAAAGACTCTATCACACTATTTTGAAGGAAAAAGGACTTCTCTCTGGTCCCCTCAATTGGCATCAATAAAAGAGGTTACCTAGTTATCACAATTTCTACCCAAACCAGTTGCGTTAACAGCAAGTAGCATTTCAAAAATTGGCCTGAAGTCATGAAAAGTGCTATATAAATATATGTTCTATTTTTGTTCAGATACTTTGTTTGCTTCAACTTGAAACTTTTGCCCCACAAAAACAACGCTGTCATGTCATGTCATAGAATCCTTACTGTGTGGAAACGGGCCATTCAGCCCAAAAAGTCCACACCGACTCTCCAAACAACATCCCACCCAGACTCACCCCCCAACCCTATTCTTGTATTTCCATGGCTAATCCACCTAACTTGCACGTCTTTGGACCACGGAGGAAACCAGAGCACCCGGAGGAAACTCACACAGACATGGGGAGAATGTGCAAACTCCACATAAACAGTCGGCCAAGGCTGGAATTCTGGAATTGAACCCTGGTCCGTCGTGCTGTGAGACAGCTGTGCCAGCCACTGTGCCACCCCAACCCCCAAAAATAAAGAAAAATGTCAAAAGTATGCAATTGCTTGGACTGCAATTCAACTCCAGTGGTCAAACCTTAATGCAGAATCAACAAGGAAATTACCTGTTGCAATGCCTCTCAGTGATGCTGTGACACAGTTGCTCACAGTGATGTTAGGGACATAAAAGCCAATTTGTGCACAGCTTCTCACAAAGAGTGAAGTGATATGACCAGATAACCTATCCTGTAACTCAGCTCACCTCCAAATTAATGCCATATCACATCTACCTGACAGGCCTCGACTGATTGCCCTCTCCAAAAAGATGGCACCTCCAACTCACTATTGCCTTGATTTTTTGAGCTCACATCCTGAACTGGAACTTGAACTTAAGACTTACCTTCTGACTCAGAGGCAGGAGTGCTACTCACCCAGCCATAGCTGATTGGATTAACAATTGTTACCAACAGCCAATTGCAAGCTGATTGGTGAAGATTGAAACTAGACTCTAATACTTACCTTCCTGATTGCCTTATTCACAGAGTGCAGCATTACACCTGCTTCTTACACAAATCCACGCACTGTCCCAGCAGTCTCACTTTACGAGTGCACTAAGTACCCAATGCCTTTCACCTCTGTATCTTAACAAAATAATTAACATGTTATTAACAGGAACTAGTGGCTCTGGTTGATAACCTGTTTCACTGCTTGAGGGAACAATGCCCACATTTCGAGCTTCTCAAACAGTGATCTAGCTGTGTTAATCTCGTTGACAGCCTAAGTGTATCCATTATCCTCAAGCGACCTCAGTTCAAACCCTCCCAAGAAGCCCACACCACAGCTGGAAGTTACATCTCCTCATCTGCAACTGGCACTTAATGCTATGTTTCTGTCAGGTTCCGGAGCTCTTAGCTTCTCGTGAGCACCATTGCCAAGGCACACAGTGAAGTATAGGATGCTTCTATACAGCAATACTGTACTTAATCAGCATCAAATATTGGCAGAGGCAAAATGAGCTTTGGTAATGAGTTAGCATCCTTTATTCTTCACAGTCTATGAACTCTATCCAAAAATTATTTACCCATCACCTGACCTTCACTGGAATTAGAATTCTCACTTTGGTGTTGAAAATCCTTGCCCTTCCCAGCTCTACAACACTCATTTCTGTTATTCTCTAATTTTTGGCCTAGTGTGCATCCCTCATTTCCTTTGCCCACTAGAAGTTTAGCTGCCTAAAGCTCTAAATGCTGGAATTCCATCCTTACACCTCTCTACTTCTGTCCTAATGCATAATTTTTGAAAAATTCTTTCACGGGATGTGGATATTCCTGACTGGGCCAGCATTCAATTGCCCTGCCAAAGGTGGTGGTGAGCTGCCTTCTTAAACCGCTGCAGTCTGGGAGATTAGGAACACCCACGCTGCTGTTAGAAACAGAGTTCCACGATGGTGATCCAGGGATAGTGGAGGAACAGTGATATCTTTCAAAGTCAGGACGGTCAGTAGCTTGGAGGGGAACTTGCATGTGGCACTGTTCTCTTGTATCTGCTGCCCTTGTCCTTCTAAATTGTACAGGTCACAGGTTTGAAAAGTGCCGTCAAAAGGAGTTTTGGTCAGTTGCTGCAGTGTGTCTTGTAGATGGTACACATTGCTGCCACTGTGTCTCAATGGTGGAGGCAGTGCATGTTTAAGGTTGTGCACAGGGTGAAAGTAGGACGCTTTGTCCTTGTTGGTGTGGAGTTTCTCGAGGCTTGCTCAAGTTGCATTCAACTAGACGAGCAGTGCAGTCAGTTGCACTCCTGACTTCTGCCTTCTAGACAGTGCTCAGGCTTTGGAGAGACAGTAGGTGAGTTACACACCACAGAATTCCTAGAGTCTAACCTGTTCTCGTAGTCGCAGTATACATATGGCTGGTCCCATTCAGTTTCTGGTAAATGTTTAACCTTGGATGTTGCTAATGGGGGATTCAGGGATGTCAATGCGAGTGAATGTTGAGGGGAGGTGGTTAGATTATCTCATGCCATGTCAAGCCTTAACTAACAGCACTTATCAAGTGTCTTCTAACATTAAAAGCACTACAAAAATCCAAGTCGTTGTTGCTTACGCAGTGTTTGTACCTTCCAAGCTGCCATGGGTGCTTGGAACAGGAGTGATTTAGTAAACAGGTTACAAGCTCTTTGAAATCATTGGTTTTCTTCAGGTTTTTAAAAAAAAATTTCAAAAATTTAAGAAAAAAACTGAATCCTGAAACATTTGCTACAAACTGTTTAAAAATAAATGAGATTATTTAAAGCAGATAATAGTATCAGGAATAAAAAGCACTTACACCTCCTTCTTCAATGAGTCACTAGCTACCAAAGTGGAACGGCAGGTGAATCATAATTTCTGGCCTCTTTCACTGATAGGGAACTAAAATAAAGTTTATATTTTCCACCATAAACAAAATATGAACAGGCTCTCCTGCACTTGGTGCAAGCAATCGCCACACTGCTCGAGCTCCTTCAGCTCCTGGAGGAGGCAGCTGACATCCTGCAAATGTGCAAATAAACAGGTAGGTTAAAACTGCACTGATTGGGTAATCGCATGTTGAAGGGCAATTATTGATAAGAATATAGGTTTGTGTGGCGATGGTGGAGGAAGACACCTCCAATCCACATTGAAATAGCAGCCATCGGATGTTTTGCACCCCCCTGGGGGCTGACAGGGACTTTATTTTAAGTGTCAATTGAATTACATTCAACAGGACAGCACAGTGCCTGCCAGGTTTATGATGCTCAAGTCACTATAGCGGGCCCAAAACTCTATTTTGTGACTTAGAGATAGATGCCAGTGTCACGCACTGAGCCATAGTTCAAAGGTTTAGTGTACCATTAGGGTGCTCCCCAGTGTACTGGTGAATGTTAAATGGGATGTCATTGGCATAGAGGTGTTATCACTAGAGTATTAATCTAGATATGCAGGTAATGTTCTGGAGATCTGGATTCAAATCCAACTATGGCAGACAGTGAAATTTGAATTCAATAAAAACATCTGGAATTAAGAGTGTAATGATGATCATGAAACCATTGTTGATTGGCAAAATCCATCTGGTTTCACTCATGTCCTTTAGGAAGTAAACTGCCATCCTCACCTGATCTGGCCTACATGTGACTTCAGACCCACGGCAATGTGGTTGATGCTTAACTGCCCCCAGACAATTAGATATTGCCAGTGATACCCACATCATGTGAATGAATTTTTAAAAATTCATCCCTCAACCAACATTACCAAAAGGTGATGATTGTGGATGTTTCTTGCCAGGTGTAACCTGGCTGTTATGCATCCTACATAAGTGACAACACTTCAAAAAAAGTTTTTCATTGACTAGGAAGCACTTTGGGTTACTCTGAGGACAGGGACTGTTTAAATGTGATGACAGACATTTGCAGTTGGATACTGACAGGCTGGCTAAACCATCACTGAAATCAGGATACAGATCCAGAGTCATGTATGACTTGCAGCACAACTGTGATGGAAGAGCGTGGATGGAGAGCAGTCAGGATGGTGGCTTCGCATGTGTTTCGAATCATCTGTTCCTTGCTCTTCTCAGAGACACCTTTCAAAAAAGTAGAGAAAAAGGCTTGAGCGAGTGGGGCACTTGCAAAGACACCTGAAATGATCAGTAAAATCAAACTACTGCAGACTACAGTCCGAAACACAACAATATGATGGCAAACACATTTCTTTCAGGACACCTTTAAGATGCAGCTTGTTCCCAGAGTATAAAGGTCAACTTTGTCCAGAACTTGAATCGTAATTTTGTGACATCAACAACAATCCAGTGGTTGTACAGCACAGTAGCACCATCTTTTAAAAACACATTCCTCTATGAAGGACTCCTTCCCCCACACGAAAAAAAAACTGATGCACTCTCTGGGGCCTGCAATGTTTTTTTTTTCTAGATTAGAAAGAACCTTCACCAATTGACATTTTGAAGCATTTTTATGCAGTGCATGTTTAAAATTAGGGCGGCTCAGTGGCTAGCACTGCTGCCTCACAACACCAGGGACCTGGGTTCGATTCCACCCTCAGGCGACTGTCTGTGTGGAGTTTGCACATTCTCCCTGTGTCTGTGTGGGTTTCCTCTCACAATCCAAAGATGCGCAGGTTAGGTGGATTGGCCATGCTTAAATTGCCTGTAGTGTTCAGGGATATGTAGACTGGGGTCATGGGTCTGGGTGGGATGCTCCGAGTGTCAGTGTGAATTTGTTGGGCCGAAGGGCCTGTTTCCACACAGTAGTGATTCTATGATTCTATGAAAATCTAGAATGCAATGGCATGGTGAAAACAAATTCAATTCAAAGGGTATTGGATAAGGATCTGCAGAGAATAAACTTTACAGGGTAGAGGCAGAAAGGTACAAGCTCCTGCAGAGCCAGCATGGACCACCTGAAAGATCAAATGGCCTCATTCTGTGCAACATTCATTCTATGATGATCTTATTTGGCTCCATTCATCAAAACATTCTGCACCCTCAATGTGCTACCTCCAGTGATTGGGCTGAGAGGCCCAATATCCAACTTGATATTGAAGTATCTCACTTGCATTTGTGCAACACTGCCAGCACGAGTACTTCATCCCATCACCCTAGTGCTGCTACACCCTTCATATTTAAACACTGAAGATAATTCAAGAAGATACTCCCTTGTTTCAGCACATTCAGTGCTGGACTAAATAAAGTCACCATAGTCTTATCAGAACATAGGGGTACTCTCTCATTACAGAGACACAATTCTGATAGGGTTAGGGTTAGGAGAGGGGAGGGGTCAAGAAGGAAAAGGTAACCTCAGAGATGGTGGAATTGAATCCTGGCCGTTAGCATTACTTCGTACTGCACACCAGCCTGTGATAGACTAAATTTAATTTTCTCTCTGTACACGAACAGCAGGTCTAGGGAACAAGGCAAACCCTTGGGCTAAACTCTTATAAAAGAAGTTAACAGCTCAAGGCAAGGGTTGAGAAGAATCAAAGCTGCTGCCTCAGTAAAACATGCAAACCACGCATTACACAAGCAGTGATATTATAGAAGTATAGAGCCAGGTTTCTTTTAACATTGGTTCGACAGAGGCTCAGAAGCAATGCAGCTACATGGACATGGCTGGGAACAGGTCACTGCAGGATGTGTGCTGTTCTCTCTGACATCAGTGTGTTCTATGAGGTGGTCAGAGTCTGGGAACCTGTGTTGTGTTATTCGCATATCATTCAGTATTAATGGGAGACTAAATCAGTCACTGGAATGATGCTTATTATAATAAGCACTCATGCATGAATCGTAATCAGAGTTGTTATCAGCAGACTAACAATTTTGTTGCACTAGTCACTGCTAAGAAATTCTCTGATAACCAAGCTTTTGTTGCTGTTAACCCACCCCTGGACTCCCAGGTTCCATGCTTTGTGACCTTTAATTTGAAAAAGTTCCACAAGTCCTTTGTACCCTGCACTATGTCAACTGGGCATTCCACACACCAATCCACTGACTCTTAATTCACTGAGCTTCCACTTTTCCCCCTTGACAAAAAACACACAATGTCTTGAAAAATTCTTGCCATTTAAGCATGTCTGTTTGGGATCATTCCCCATTTCCACAGTCAGTTCTTTTCCATAAGTCCGCTGACTTCAAATCTCGTGTATCTCTTCCAGCCATCTGCAGTTTCAGTCCCCCCTCACCTGAACAAACTCCCTAATTCCTGCCCCCTTGTTGTTTCCCTTTAAAACCTCTCCAACACAATTTTTACTTTGAAATTTGTTTTATGGTCAGCTCCCTTAATTATTCAGTGGCCCCTGCTACCAATTAATTATATCAAACTCTGTCCACAAGTGAAACTTCTTGTTGTGCACCAAGAAAAATCCTTTAAAATCCACTCTGACCAGCACTGAAATGCTACCAGTGAACCTCAGGCTTGGGGAGCCCTCTACTGCTGGTGTTTGTGGGCACTCAATGATCTCTAGCAGGAGTTGAATTAAAATATAGTAATCTTATCACCACAGAGCTATTACCAACTCAGAAATGGTCTAAGAGAACGCCAATGTATTTAGAATACAAAAAAAAAGACAACATGCCTTAGATTTCTCATGGAACCGGATTCCAATTAGGTGAAAATTGTCTGTCAAAGACCATGGCAAACCAACCAATTCCCAAAAAACAAAGTACCCATGTAACAACCTCCAACCTCTCACCTTGCAACAACTTGACACACCTCATCAATTCTCCACAATCTTATGGAGCTCTCTCTGGAGTTCCAAAGTATTACAAGTGCTCTCATTGAATAATATAAAACTCTACAACAGTGCCAGCACTATCTAACTGCCTGTTAGGGTGGACGTAAAAGACTTAGTGGCACTGCTTTGAGCATTCAAAGGAGTAATACCTGATGGTCTGGCCAGTGTCTACCCTCAAGCAGCATCTGGTCATTGTGACATTCTTTACTGCATTCATTACTCTTAAAAAAAAAAGGCGGAATATGGGTGTTCGTCTGTGATGCCAACACGAACAAAAGTAGAAGGCAAGGGTGCTGCCATTTCAAAAAGTGTTGAAGAGGTCTCTTAACTCAGAGGGTTGAGTCTTTGGAATTCTCTAACCTAGAGGTTTGCGGATGCTCATCATTGGGTATATATTCAAGTTCAAACTGATATGGATTCTAAAAGAATCAAGGGAAATGAGGATCTAGCAGGAAAACAGATTTGAGTTCAAGCATCAGCCATCATTTTATTGAATGGTGGGACAAGCTCAAAGGACTGCAAAGCCTCTGATTTCTTACATTCTTAACCTTATATATGCTTCCTCCATCATTCAGATACCCCAGCATCTTTGTTCATCCCCAGAATCCTCACACAAACTCCCGTAACTGCCAACATTTCAACACTCTCATCCCTCATGCAACTCCACAGAGTTTTCATCCAGGAACTTCACAAACTCTTTTCCACAACAAGGATCTGAAACTCATCACTTACTTGGCAATCCAACTTTTGGCTTTAGGAGGACATCTAGCGTGGCCTTGTCAAAGATCTCTTTGCTGACTTTTACCTCTGCTGGTCCATACACTGCAGCCAGGACTGTCGTGTCCCCTGAAGTTTACAAAGAAAACATCCAAAAGGTTGTAAACATAGGTTGACATTGCTTAGTGGGAGCATTGCAACAAAGGATCAATGTGACTTTATAGACACAGTTGCTCTTCACAAGTAAGAAAACTGGCAGAATTTTTAATTAGAAAAAAGTTAGTTCCACTTTTTAAATCAAACCACTGAGGCATTTACAAGATTTAAAACAGACTGATGTTTAAATAGCTTTGCACCTTTCATGACCAAAGGGCACCATAAAGCACTTTAGTTATTTTTGATGTGCAGCAACTGTTATGACTTATTGACCAGGGAGACTTTGAGGGAGTTTGACAGGGTGGATGCCAAGAGGATCTTTCTCTTCCAGGGAGAATGGAGAACAAAGATCTCTCATTTAAGATGGAGACGAGGATGAATTTCTTTTTCAGAATTCCCTCCCCAGAGAGCAGTCACAGCTGGGTCATTGAATACATTCAAGTTGGAGTTAGACAGATGTTTGTTTGACAAGGGACTTAAGGGAGATGAGTAGGAAAATGGAGGTTAGGTCCACCAGATCAGTCATGGCCTTATGGACTGGCAGAGCAGGGGTTCATGAGCTAAATGGCTTACTCCTGCTCCTAAATTTTATGTTAAAACATGACAGTGATAAATTGTGCATAGCTCCCACAAACAGCAATGTAATAACAACTAGATCATCCAATTGAGACAAATGGTGCACAAGATAGTAGGCAAAATGGTCTTCAATCATAGGTTCTGCTTTAGTTGTGTTGGCGTCCCAGTCTAATGTATTTCTACGGGTGGTGTTACTGAAACCAAGGATGACATTCCAAGATGGTCTCCGGAAGCTGGAATCGAACTTGTGTCCCTGGCGCTTTGAAGCAACATGCTACTACTCTCAACATGAGCTGGTTGGGCCAAATGGACTGTGTTCACATTGCCTGCAAGTCACGATGGGCCAAAAGGCCTTCCGGCTGTAATGATTCTATGATTACATGAGATTAATAAAGGGCTATGAGCACAGCCAAACAGTGATATTGGCTGTGGATAATACAGTGCTGTGGGGAAGAGAGTCGCGCAGTAAATATGACCAGTGTATGGGACTGATGCAGAGCTATTGAAAGAGTGTGAAACTGTGAGACTATTTTGAAATTGACACAGGGCTGTGGGGAATGGATAAAAGATGCAAGGAGCAGTGGAGTTAGTTTAGGATTTATGCAGAACTTTAGGAGAAATAAATATTCGTAAGGGAAGATAGACTGGCATTGAACGAGTCCTCAGAAGATTACATAGTTGACTCTGGTGTATCGGGGTGGGGGGGGGTGGTGTGGAGATTATCTGACGAGGAGTGGTTGAGTAGGCTGGGCTCGTACTCATTGGAGTTTAGAAGAATGAGAGGAGAACTTATTGAAATATCAGAAACGTGGGAGAATGAGAATTAAGTAATTTGAGTGGAAATGCAAGTCTGAGAGTCGGTCAGAAGAGAGACGATAACGTTGTGACTCCAGAAGATAAATTATAATTTTTTTGTTGCTCTAAATGAGCTCCCCATCTATAATCTCCAGAATCCCGACTCCCACACCACCCTCCTCCTACCTGCCTTCCCACTGTCAGTGTCCCACATTACAATAAGACTTGGGTAGGCGGGGGCAGAGTAGGGTTTGAAAGAGTCTTCCCAAAGTAAAGGGCTAACACCTACCTTGAGTGAAACAGGCCGAGCCATCGGGCCTGGATAGGAGACTGTGTTCACTGCCGAAAGGCCGCAGTTGCTGCTGACTCTCAGCACCTACCTCCATACCGAACAGCACCAACTGTCAAGCCCCCATTGTTAACTGACAGTGATCTTCACCAATCAGAAACCAGTACATCACAACATTAACCAATCAAAATCAAGATTAGGTGGGACCGCCAGGCCATGCACCGTTGGGGGCAACTGCCCCTCACCGAGGACCCCCATTCTACAGACAACTTACTGTACGCCTTTACACAATAACGGCAAATAAAGCATGTTCCTTTACAAATTAAGCTGCGTGGCTTTTACTGCTGTTCGGTCTCATTGAAGGGGGCCCCGCGCTTGTTCTTCCTCTTCCTCAGAAGGCGGTGATAATGCGGTACAGGCGGCGGCTGGACAGACAGTAAACATGGCGGCGGTTGTCAGGCAGTTGGGAGTAAGATGGAGCGGGTTGTGGAACAGCCGCGTCTCCCGGGCTCAGATCGCTCTCTCCGCGTCTCGGCGTGCCCTGTCTACCGGGGTGAGTAATTCCCAGACCCTGACCAAAGGGTAAAGTTACCCTGGGCTGAGGTTCCGGACCACCTCCAGCCGATTGGTCAGGAGAGGGGGTGGGATCCTATGTCTGGCTAGTCAATGGGTTTTACAACCTAAACATACAATCAGAGTTTTTTACTGTGATTCATAACGTAATAGCATAACTTTACTAGATTTACTGAACGCTTCATTTTAATTTAATAACTGGACATAAGTTTACGAGGCTTACTGGATTGCTTCAAAACTTTAAGCTGTGAATAATAACTTTGCTGTATTTCTGCTTCACAATTAATAAATCATAACGTACACTTTAATCGTCACAATGTCTAAATCATAACTATTGATTGTTTAATAACTTAGAATTCCTAACTTTTTACTGCTCTATACCTTATTGTATCATAACCTTACTAAGTGTGCTGATTGCTTCGTGACTTATCATAAATACTTTTCCGTATTTACAATTCATAACTTATGAATCCGCAACTACTTTCTAAAACAAATTGTTTATTAGTAATTTGGGATGTGAATCCAAATCCTAACACACTGGTTGGGCAATTTTGAATTCAGTTTATTTCCTGTATTTATTTATAGATGTAATGAGAGCGTTACAGGTGAGGGCAGCAATTGTTCAGCCTCCCTCTGCCCTTGAGAAGGTGTTGGTGAGCTGTCTTATTAAACTGCAGTGTGTGTGGTGTTTGTACATCCACTGCACTGGTCACTAAGGAAAACCAGACTTTTGCTGTAGGTACAGTGAGATATTTTCAAGTCAAGATGGTTTGTGAGTTGAATGGAAACTTGGAGGTGGTGATCTTCCATGCACTATCAGTTGTTGTTATTCCTCCAAAACTGAAATCAGTCTACATTTAAATGTACAAGTTCAGAAATTGCTATCAATGATTCTGTGCTTCTCCATCGGGTACACTGTTGATTATTCCCAGTTTTTGTATAATTAGAAATCAGTTAGTTAGTTTTGCTCTATATGATCCTCGATACAGATTACATTAAATAACATTGATGGAATGGCAGAAAAATGGCAGATGACAGTGAATGCAGGGAAGTGTAAAGTGATTCATTTCGATGAGGAGAATGCAGTGTGGCAATGTAAAATGAAGGTTACAGTTTTAAAGGGCAGCATAGGGCTATGGGGTGGCAGGGGAGTTGCAAGCACATATGGGATCCTAGACTTCATAAATGCAGCATAGAGTACAAAGACACGGAAGTTATGAGAAAGCTGTATAAGTTACTAGTTTGGAGTTTTTCATCCAATTCTAGGCACCACACTTAAGGCACTAGAGCAAATGTTTACAGGAATGAGGAAATATAAATTACATAGATTGGAGAAGTTGTGTAACATGGATAAGTATGAAGTTGTTCACTTTGGCAGAAAAATAATCCGGATTACAGAGTATTATTTGAATGGTCATAGATTGAGAAGTGGGTGTCTGAAGGGTCCGGGCATCCTTTTTACACTAAAAAAACCGAAAGTACAGCGGATGCTGTAAATCAGGATCAAAAACAGAAGTTGCTGGAAAAACTCAGCAGGTCTGGCAGCATCTGTGAAGAAAAAAATCAGATTTTTTCTTCACAGATGCTGCCAGACCTGCTGAGCTTTTCCAGCAACTTCTGTTTTCGATCCTTTTTACACTGTTTACTGAGAGCAAGTCTACAGATACAGTAAGCAGTTAGGAAGGAAAATGGTAAGTTGACCTTCATTGCAGGAGGATTTGTGTGCAGGAGCAAGGAAGCCATACTATAGCTATACAGGGTTTTGGTTTGACTACATGTGGAGTAATGTGCTGTTTTGGTCTCTTTACTGAAAAAAAAAATTTGCTATTGTGGGGAGTGCAGTGAAGGTGCACTAGTCTGTTTTCTGAAGAAGGATCTAGGCCCGAAACATCAGCTTTCCTGCTCCTCTGATGCTGCTTGGCCTGCTGTGTTCATCCCGCTCTACACCTTGTTATATCTGATTCCTGGAATGGCAGTTTTTGTCAAATCTGAAGAGATTGGGTAGTCTCGCTTGTGTGGACTGCACTGGAATTTAGAGGAACAAGAGGGGAATTCATATAAGATTCTCATGGGGTTACACAGATTGGATGCAGGGGCTCCAGAACAAGTGGTCATAACTTAGGATATGTGGGATGCAATTTTGGACTGAGATGAGGAGAAATTTATTCACTCAGAGGGTGTTGAACCTGTGGAATTCTTTACCACAGAAGGCTGTGGAGGCCAAGGCACTGAATATATTTAAGATTTCTACAGTCTAAACGTATCAGTGGGAGAGAGCAAGAGTACGACATCGAGCTAGAGGATCAGCCATGATCAAGTTGAATGTTGGAATGGGCTCATTGGACAGATGGCTGAATCCTGCTCCTGTTTTCTATATTTCTAAATCATGATGAGTCTGAGGAAGGTGGATAGGGAGAAGCTGTTCCCTATGTTGGAAGGATTGGGAACCAGAAGAAGCTGATTTAAAGTTATTGGCAAAAGAAGCAATGGTGACATGAAGAGAAACATTTTTATGCAATAATTTATTTAGGATTTGGAATGGTCTATCTAAGATTGTGGTGGAGACAGGATCAATCATGGCTTTCGAGAGAGAATTAGAACATTATTTGAAGAGCAAAAATTTGCAAGGCCCCCTCCCATTGAAAAGGTGAATTTCCCTTGGAAGTGGTTGGCTGAATGTTCTTCTCTATTTAGTGGTTCTACAATCCTAATCTATGATTTTTGTGGAATAGAGCAAAACAATACTTTGTCAAAACTCAATGTTCATAATCAGTACTGAGCAATCTTACTGGCTAAATGTAAAATTACTGCATTATAATAAAAAAATTGAACTTGCTTGTATTAAATTTGTTCTTTTTTCCATCTCTATCATGAACTCATTTGTGTGTGCTAATCTATTTCAATCCCTGTAAGATCATTTTCAAAAGTGGAGGAAATGAACACTTTTAACTTCCTGGTGTGCTGTCTCTGAGAATACTTCACTGCAGTTGGCTGATTACTCTGCTTAATGACATCACTTGCTGGATGTCTAGTGAACCTTTTGATTAACACCAGATTCAAATAGATGTTTGAAAAGGGGAAATCTGCACCACTAGGGTTGTTCGGGCTTTCTTCGCAGCTTCCTTCATGTCATCACTGAATGCAACATCCAAACTAATATCTGGTCCCTTATTCATCTGTTTATGGGCTGTTTGTGGGGCCTTTCTGTGTGTAAATTAGTTGCTTTGCTTGATTCCAAAACAAGGTACAAATGTACTTCAAATATTGCCTTGTTACTTCATTGACTGCAAACAACAGTTTGCTGTTTGTGGAGATGAAAGGTGCTACCTATTTAAATTTCATTTTTCATACTTGGTTGCTTAACATATCTATTCTTACTGATTAGCACATCAGGGAAATCTTAGGAGTTACATTGAGATCAGGATTATTCACAAATATGTTTAACACCAGCATCTGTGTTTATCTATCCTAAAAAGTTATACATGATGTTTTCAGTTGTTTTTGCATTGTCTTGTTCATTGATCATGAATTCCTTTGGATTGAATTCTGCTAGCTATGATCTATGAGTATAACCCTCATCTATTGTATCTGACAGTTCCACATGTTTAAATGAGGTTACACTTTGGAGCCAGTTATTCTGTTCTGAAAGAAAGTGCCTTCCCCAACCAAGAATATCCCTATACCAGTCTGCAGACAATTAAGTACTCTTTAAAGTATAGTTGCTGTAATAGTATAAGGCACATGTGACCAAATTGCACACAGCAAGTTCCCACAAATGATTACATGCTAATGACCAGGTCAACAGAGTTGGAGGTGGAGGAACACAGCAGGCCAGGCAGCATCACAGGACATGTTGGGTTGGGACCCTTCTTCAGAAATGGGGAGGGGAAAGGGAGCTGGGCAATAAATAGAGAGAGGAGGGGTTGGGCTGGGGAAGGTAGGTGGGATGGTGATAGATGAGTGCAGGTAGGGAGTGGTGGGGATTGGCCATTGGGATGGGTGGGGCAGATACATGGGAGAGAAGACAAACAGCTTGTGTCGGTCAAGGAGGTGAGAGGGAGGATGGTTGGGGCTGGGGAAAGGTAGGTGGGGTGGTGATAGTTTGGATGCAGGTAGGGGGTAGTGGGGATTGGTTGGTAGGAAGGGTAGGGCAGATAGGTGAGGAAGAAGATGGATAGGTTGTGTCAGGTCAAGGAGGTGGGGATGAGAGGGAGGGTTGGACATGGGTTGAGGCCGGGGGTGGGGAGATTTTAAAACTGGTGAATTCTATGTTAAGGCCATCAGCTCCCGAGGCAGAATATGAAGTATTGCTCCTCCAGTTACCGTGTGGCATCATTGTGGCATTGGAGGAGGCCCAGGATGGACATATCACTCAGGGTTTGGGAGGGGGAGTTAAAGTGGTTGGCGACCAGAAGTTGTTGTCATTTTGTCACGTTCAGAGTGCAGGTACTCCATGAAACAGTCTCCGAGTCTATGCTTGGTCTCACCAATGTAGAGGAGGCCACATCGGGAGCAACGGATACAGTAGACCAAGTTGGAGGATGTACAGGTGAACCCCTGTTGGATATTAAAGGTTTGCTTTGGGCTTTGGATGGAGGTGAGGGGGGAGGTGTAGGGGCAGGTGCAGCACTTTCTCTGGTTACAGGGAAAGGTGCTGGGTGTGGTAGGGTTAGTGGGGAGTGTGGAGCTGATGAGGGAGTCACAGAGTGACCAGTCCCTACTAAAGGCAGTTAGTCGTGGGGAGGAAGATATCTCTTTGGTCATGGGTTCAAATTATAGGTGGCAGAAGTGGTGGAGAATGATCTGTTGGACGCAGAGGTTGGTGAGGTGGTATGTAAGGACGAGGGGAATTCTGTCTTTATATTTGTTGGGGACAGTGGATTTGAGGGCAGAAGTGCTGGAAATGCAAGAGATGCGGTTGAGGGCATTTTTGAATGCCGGGGGGGGAAGTTATGGTCCTTGAAATTGGAGGACATCTGGGATGTCCAGGAGTGGAATGCTCCATCTAG